GATGTTGCAAGTACGTCTATTAGGTATGTTTGACACTTCATTTGGGAACTGCCCTCCCGATTCAACTGCTGAAATATTTTTATCAATTAACAGCCCCAAAATTAAGAAGAGCTTTTACTTTTATCAGTCAACCTGGCAACAAATATCTAATATATAAGATGACTATTTGACGTGGAAAGAAATTTGATCCTCTCCTAACAGTAGTTCTAAATGTTTTAATGCACATTTCCAATTTCTGAAGATCATGGCATGTTGGTACTACACCCCGAAGAAATTGCATCATATGCATTAATCAGTTTGTAATTTATGTTGGAAAGGGTGCAGCCTTGAAGCACCTTTATTCATTGTTGGTGGTCCTGTAGGCATGTTCAATTATACTGGAAAAAAATAGTGTTTCATAATAAAGAGTATAACTGCAGTTGACTTTCCTTTTGAACCAGAAGTCCTTTTATTGCAGCACTGGACAAATTGAACATGCAGTCCCACAAAGGGATTCCTTGTCTGCTTGCTGCTAATGGCAGTGCAAATTGCAATAGCCTCAAAATGGCATTCTAAAAAAGTTCCATCAATGTCTCTATGGTTTGAGAAAATATGGGACCAATTCATAATGGGTAAAATAGCAGAAAGTCACCAACATAACACGTTAAGGGGGGATATCTCCGATTTTACAGAAATCTGGTTCCCTGTCTTGACATATTTTGCCTCACATGAAATCATTCCTAATAATATTGAATATCAAAAATGCTAACTTTCTGACATAATGATAATGTTTTAGTACTTGGCAGTTTATGCCCTCGTTGTTGAATTTTATGTGATTTTTTAAAAAGCCTTTTGCGGCCTGGGACCAGCATACCTACAGGACCGTCTCTCCCCATATGTGCTCTGGAGAGCTGTGTGCTCTACTGACCAACATCTACTGGTAGTCCCTGCCCAAAAGATATCTGTTTAGTCTTGACCAGGGCCAGGGCTTTTTCTGTCCTGGCCCCAGCCTTGTGGAACACACTCCCATGTGAGATCAGGGTCCTGCATACAGTTCTGCAGGGCCTATAAAATGGAGCTCTTCCACCAGACCTTTGGCTAAGGTGGTTGATGTCCAATCCATCTCGGCCTCCCCTGCCCACAGAAATGCCCACAAAAATATGTCATTAAACTAATTATGCTACAGGAGGCATTAAGGACTACCCAGGAGTTTTTGTCTTGTTTTGCTGCCATCTTGTTTTATTGTTTGATTGTTTTAACTTGGTTTTATTATATGGTATTATTATTTACATAGATCATAAATATTGTGAGTCACCCTGAGCCCATTTTTGGGATAGGTCAGGATATAAACCTAATAAAATAAAAATAAAAAATAAAATAAAAATCCAGTACTAACTGGATTTGATGGATTGGGCACAACATATTCAAATAAAAATAGTTTTCAAAAGTTTTTTTGATAGTAATGGGGGGATGAAGAGAAATGTCACTGAACATGAGTTAAGAAATCCACACCGTGCCATCCCAAAATAGCTTTGAGTATAACCTTTCAGCAAAGAAATCAAAGGAGTTTTGGGAAAAAACAATTGTGGACCAATACCATGTGGAAACCCCACAAAAACTCTGCTGCATGAACAAAACCTGCATGTAAAAGCTGCATAAATCCCCCCATCATCATCATCATCATCATCATCATCATCATCATCATCATCATCATCATCATCATCATCTTATTTAATCTTCAGTATTTTATGATTTTTCTTTTTAATAAGACACAGCACTATTTGATACTCTAATTTCTAAATGAGTATGACCAATGCAGCATCACTTTCCAAGTTGTTTGTTCTAAATAGTCTCTTAATTTAAAACATTAATGGTGCAGTCCTAAACCTTGTTACACTATATTAACTTCAATAGATTTAGAAGGATATAACTCTGTTTAGGATTGCACTGGAAATCTTGTGAATCTTTCAGTAAGGATGGTCACCTATCTTGACTTTTATTGCAGTCATTCAAGTGTTCTTAATGTAACAAGAAGAGTCAGTCAGCTGTAGACTTTGTTGATTTGACCTCAAGTGGCATTCCAAAAAGGTGAACTGATTTGTGAATGAACAATAATTAGCTATGTGCACTTTAAGCTACATTTCAGTGTCATCTGCTTAGGACCATTTTCACTTATGCAGATTTCTTCATAATTATAATATAGATCCTAATTGTTTCCTAGGTCCTGTGAAAATTATTATAATTATTTTAAAATGTAAAAAGCTTGTTGATTTGTGTTATTAATTCAAGGTGGAGGTTGTTCTAATATCTATTTTTGTGAAGTCCATTGGATGAGTTGTGGAATATCATAATTAGGTGGTATTAATTGGAATGTAATCCAATAACATTGGCCTCCCCTGTATTGGCCACCCATGGCACTTGTATATCAACTGTCACTGGGAGCAGCCAAACTGATCTATCTTGGTCCATTACCCCTTCTAGCATGGTGCCAGCTTACGTTAGTATGTGATCAATTGCTGATCTGTTGGTAGGAGACACAGATTATTGTGTGGATTATTTAATATGTTTACTTATTTAACATTTTACTTCTTAATGATTATTTAATATTTTAAACTGCTGCTGTACTGTGATGTGATGTGAGCTGCCTTGAGCCCACTTATAGGGTACGGTGGAATATAAGTTGCAAAATAAATAAATAAATAAATGAAATCTTATTACCATAACCCCCTTCTATATATCTTCATTAATACCACAGTATTAAGAAACCATATTTGGAAAACCCGTATGAAAGTATTAATCATAATTTGAAGGCTTTTAGAGATGCCTTCATTGTGTACTCTTCTCTCCACACTGTATACAATCGTGGTGTTTTAGTTTAATTAGAGGATTCTATGGAAGAGCTCTGTTTTATGGGCCCCGTGGAATTGTAATACTTTTGTTTCTAAGTATGCATGCCTACTGTTCCACCTAGGTGTACAAAATAATAGAAAGTAATGTTATTTCTATTTCTGTAAACAATTCATAATATTTTTGCTATGAAATCTATTCTAATGTTGAGAAACAAAGAATGATATTAGTTCCTCACATTTTTTTTATTAATAAAGGTGTCTGACTGCAAGATACACTCAAAAGTGGAGGAAACTAGAAACATTTGAGAGATATACAAACACACAGTCGTCTTTGAAATGTCTTGATCTCTTTAACTCTTAAGTACAAGAAGATGTTTATATCAGTTAATTTATTTTCTTTCTTCAGTATCTTAATGCTACCCGTAATGTCATAATCCAGCAGTTCCATCAGGCTGGCAGATTTCACCATTTTCAAATTTAATTTTTGCAGTTCATTATATCAATAGATATTGTAAAACATGGACTGATGTGTTTGTTTCAAATTCTGGAAGAATCAAACAAGCTGTAGCCACCAGGTCTTCAGGATTCAGTCATCCAGGGTTCAGTCATCCAGTTTGGACCAGGGTTCAGTCATCCAGTTTGGACAGCCAACGCAGGTGGTCTCAGCAAGCTTGGGCAAAAGCAACTCTCTGTCCCTCACAGACAGGCATCATCAGTGCAAATAAGGTTTACAGCAACAGAACTTTATGTGTAGACTTAACAGGAAACAGGGCTTTTCCAGGGTAGTTACAGCACTCTCTTGAACTGGATGCCTCCAGTCCCTTGACTGTACTGTACCAACATGAACAGCTCACTATCAGCCACACATTATTTGCACATCTTGCCCAACTCTTCAATGTGACCATCTTTAAATCTTCCCCTAGCATCAGCCTTGCACTTGGATGTCTTGGGAAGGGCCTTAAACTGAACCACTCCCTTTGATCTCTTCAGCCTAAAGGCACACCCTCCCTTAGAGGCTCCAACCTTTAGCAACCACCCTGTCCCCAATCAGTGCCCTTCCAGCCATACCTGACCCACAGACTTACCGCCTCCAGCTTCCTTGTGTAGGTAGCTTGTAAAGGCGTCTCACCCCTTTCCAGCTCCACGATGCCACACAAGCTTTTGAAGCATTAGCAACATTTCTTAACATCTGGCTGATGAATTAGGTTAAAACATTTTTTTAATTGTGCAGTTGATTTATTTTTAGTTTGAACAGTATATTATCATGAATTGTTGCAGTTAGATATTTGACCGATAGATGGTGTTCTTCAATTCGAGATCTAGCCATATTCTTGGGAACTGTAGATGTATTTTCTCAGGATTCTTGCTGTTCCAAGCAACTCTGTCTTCTGGAGCTGATCTGGTGTTATTTGTTCAGTCCAGAATGTCCAGGTGTTTCTTGAGACTTCTAGGCACTGCTCCAAGGGCCTCAGTAACAATGGGCATGATGGTAACCTTATCCCAGAGGTGCTCTAACTGTTTTGTATGTCTTGGTATTTTGTGATCTCCTCCTGTTCTCCCCCCCCCTTTTCTATTCTACTGTCTCCTGGAATTACAATGTCAATTATCCAAACCTTGTTTCTCCCCCCCACACTGTGATATCAGGGATGTTATGCTCCAGGGGTTTATCTGTTTGTAATCAGGAATCCCAAAGCATCTTTGCAGCTGCTGCTGCTGCTTCTGCTTCTTCTTCTTCTTCCTCCTCCTCCTCTTCCTCTTCCTCCTCCTCCTCCTCCACCACCACCACCACCACCACCATCAGTATATAACTCACATGTCAGCTACTGTTTGTTTTTCCCCGGGTAGAAACATCAAGTATAAATGTGATAGGTAAATAAATAAAAGCCTTATCTTACAGCTTAGAATTCTCTTTTGAGTAAATAAACTACTGCCCTCTACTGTCGTGGTTTTCTCTCTCACTATATGACAATATAGGTTTCTTTTTGGTCATATGATTTTGAAATATGTGAAATATCACAAACATTATCCATGTGATATTTTAAGAGTGTTTACAGACTTTGAAAAAAAATCTGTATTTTGTATATTTTCCTTTATCAAGCCAGGAAAATATATATTTAGAGGTCTGAAATGTCAGCAAAAACTATTGCATTGATTGCCATATAAGCAATACAAATGCCGATTGCTATGAATATTCTTAAAAGTTGCACTGTGTTTGAGCTAGGCCCCAATAGTTGTTCTAGGGCTCTGAATAAGAGAGGAAACCATAAACACTTGTATGGTGTTCTGTGTGCAGGTATATTTTGAATTTGTCAGTCACATTAATTTAATCATTCTCCTATACTCCACAGATATTTTAAGAAGTATAGATCTTGTAATATTTTTGTTGCATTAAATTCAGATACCCTGCCAGAAAATTAATACCAAATTGCATATAGAAAGAAACTTTTCTCCTGAAGGGTTTATCTTTATGGCAAGGACTGAAAAAAACAATTACAAAAAGCCTACAAAATAAAGGATCTGTTCCGTTTGCTTCCATTTTTTCAAAATGTTTTAATGTGATGAAGTAAATATAGCCTAATTTACAATGAAAATAGCATAAAATATGTCCACAGCACAAGACCTTTGGAGTTAAGGTTGTTCTGTCCTATATTTGTTAATGAAATCATTTTCTTTCTTTCTTTTTTTCCCCTTTAAAACCCTCCTCAGGCAGCCAAGGGCAGTTTCCACTCACTCAGAATGTTACAGTTATCGAGGGAGAAACAGCAACTTTGACCTGTAGGGTTGATCAAAATGATAACACCTCCCTCCAGTGGTCAAATCCAGCTCAACAGACTCTGTACTTTGATGACAAGAAAGGTGAACATTCCACTTTCTTTTTTATAAATGCTGTCAGTAATAAATAATACCATGATTAGTTCAAATGTTGACCTGGTGTGACATCCTTTCATGTTGTATATTCTATATCTTGATTTCCTAGACTTAAATCTAAACACTGTTTGATTGTTGTTAATTAAAATTGCTAGTTGTATCTTTGGAAGCCAATTTATAATTTCTCTTTCTAATATTCTCTAATGTTTTGTCTCTGCTATGAAGTTAGACATGTTTTCGTTTTCTTTGTTTATCTAAATTACTTGAGCCATGTTTTCTGCAGATATGGTTGTGAACAGTGGGGGTGGAGGTGAAGTAGTTGGGACTACTAGAAGAATTTGAGTGTACTGTCATTATGACATACACAAATGGTCAAGATAAGGGGTGTGCAAATAATGCAGTATTTTTGGGGTTCAGGTATATCAAACCTGAAAAATATTGATACTTCCTGATATTCCTGTATCCCAATACTGGTATGGTATTGGGATTCAGGAAATAATCAGGGTTCCCAAAACTTGGGGTGAACTCGCTGCCTGGGACTCCATTCACACAGTGGCACTTGCAAAAGGTATTTAAATGCCTTTTTCAAGCTTCCTTGTGCGAGTGAACTCCCAAGCCGTGAGTTAACCTGGAAGGTGAGTGAACTCACGGCTTGGGAGTTCATTCACATGGCACAGCTTTCAAAAGGCATATAAAGGGAACACCTCAGCTGGAGCTGGTTCTTGGTATAGCTGAACAGACCCAAATGAAAACTGGGGAGAAATGGCTTTTGAGGGGCTCAGCTATACCAGTAGCCAAGTACAGTGATCTGTATTTGGCTTAAGTAATACCCGAAGAATACCAATAAGGTTTTTTGTTTGTTTTTTGGCTTTGTTTGGTTTTGCCGAGCACACACCCCAAGTCAGGATCCTCCAAGGTTAAAGCTGTATGAGACAGAAGAGTTTTGAGGGAGTCCAATAATTGTTAACATTCCAGTGAAGGACAAACAATGGAATCCGTACAAAGGAATGATTGTGAAGCATGCATGGAAATAAAAGAACAGATAATTAGGGCTGAAAGACTGAGTATTGTGATGATTCTGGGGGAAGGGGAAGACAACCAAAAATAATCTAGAGTTTGGCATGATCACATTGTATTCCTTTCCTGAGAAGTGTCTCAACATCAAACAAAGGCATAATACTGACAAATGGCAGTGGGACAGTGAAAATCAAATCACACATTACAATGAAGATAAGTAGTCTGGTGTGTTGTTTAGAGTAGCCCCTGTAAGAAGAGCTCTGTAAGCTCTTGGAGGATTGGCTACATTAGGGGTGTGTCGCCTAATATGCAAAGGAGTTCCTACTACAAATATATATATATATACACCTATATGTGTGTGTGTGTGTCAGTATGTATATAGGGGCCGTGGTGGCTCAAGTGGTTAAGATGGTAAACTGCAGACCTGAAGGTCAGTAGTTCGACAGTTCGAGACTGAGTGCTGAATGACGGAGTGAGCTCCCGTCTCTGGTCCCAGATCCTGCCAACCTAGCAGTTCGAAAGCAAGAAATTGCAAGTAGATGAATAGGTACCACTTCGGTGGGAAGGTAATAATGTTCCATGCGCCTTGGCATTTAGTCATGCCGGCCACATGACCACGGAAATAACTTTCTTATTGCTACCCATCTGCAATTTCCTCCAGTTTTAAAAAGAGCATACAGTGAAATGAAGCGGGGGAATTTTGCTTTAGATTCTTTCTTTTTTTAGTTGAGACTTACTACTTACTGTCTCAGTTTCTGCCTATGAACCCAACTAGTCTTTTGATCTGTTTCTTTGGATGACTTCTCAAAGAGGTCTTACTGACTGCACAGACACAAAAAAGCAAAAATGCATTCTATTGAATATCAGAACTTTTAAAAGATGCATCTGACTATTCAAGCGCATAGCCATCATAGACAGCAAGATATTATCTTCAGAACATTTATGGAAGTGAGGATGAGGCATTTGTTATGGATCTTAGAGCGTGCCAATGTAAATATTTCAAGAGACGTGTCATATGGTCCAGATGAAGAAAATGTTTTGGCAATAAAATGGGTGGTACTGGTGAAGGGGCACAATTGCAAAAAGAGAGAGAGGGAGAAAGAGAAAGAAAGGTTGCAAGAGATGACTAGAACCTGACTCTGAAAGTAATGGAAACCTTGAGCATGTGTTACGCAGGAGAAAGCTGTCAACCTTATTCAGAGAGAGAGAGAGAGAGTGCAAGGAGAATGAGGACTCAGGGATTTGGCAGCAAGGAGGGTAATTTCAGGGGTAAGCAGAGGGAAGAAGATGGTGTTTCCCTTACATGTTACACTCTAAGGCAAACTATTACCTGCACTGGGTGATTAATGCAAAGTGTGTCATGGCAGTAATTGTATTTATGTTATTTATTTAAGACTACAAGATATAAAGATAGCAAGAGTGGACTCTTAGAAAGATTAGACATCTGAACATTTTATAAATATAAATAGTACCGGAATGGAATAATGATAGGTGACATTACCTTTAAATATGTATTCATTTCACTACAAATACAATGTGTTGTAGGATCCAAATATATTACTGATATTTTAATTTGGTTGATGCATTTTAATTCATTGCATGTTATTTTCAGAATACTATAGCAATAAATTCATGAGGGGCATGGTGCAAAATAAGTATTTTAAAGTAATTTTTCCCTCCCTCTTTTGGGAGGAAGCCTAGAAATGTGAACTTTAGGGAAACATGAGTTTTATTGAATTTGAAATTACTTTCTTAGAACTACATTATCATTGAAGTGCAGTAGAATTAACTGTGCATTCCTTGCATAGGAAAATTGTTAATTTACCCAAGAAGTGAGTAAAGTGCTTGTGACATTTTTACATTAATACTTAGACCGCTTCGGAAAAAACTATGGGACATACCCATAACAGAGTAGTGACAACCAAGCAAATGAAATCATGTAAAAATGTTTGCAGTGGACTACAGGAACAGGAATTGTATCCATATTTTATTGTAGTCTGCTGTATCTCATTGTTTAAGGACAGATAGCAGAATGCACATACTTTTTAATATTTATTTGTATTTTCTTATATACATACCATTTAAGTCTCCTGCATCCTTATATTTACACCCAAACTTACATATCTATAGTCTATTTTTCCCCAGTAACACACTTTCATCTACCTTTAGATCATTAATAAAACAACAATATGCAAATCCTACAAATCGAAGGTAAAAACTACGAAATGTTTGGAAAGGTAAATTTAGGGAACTGGAATGGGCTGGTGGTTAACAAATTAATTTGAGTTAAAAAAAAAATTCAAATATTCTCATTCTCTCTCTCTCTCTCTCTCTCTCTCTCTCTCTCTCTCTCTCTCTCTCTCTCTCTCTCTCTCTCTCTCCCCTCCTTTGATTTCTTCTGCAATAATGGAGTTAATTTCACAGTATTTATCTTCCCTATATCAATGCTAATCTGACAATCACATTGAAGGGTTTATTTGTGTGTGTGTGTGTGTGAGAGAGAGAGAGTGGGGTGGAGTCAATGTTTCCACAACAGGGAGTTAGTCCTTTGCACTGTCTTCAAATTACTGCCAAGAGTCAGGAGAGCATTGGGAGCACTCTGCAGAATGTCACTGAGGACTGAAGCAAGAAAGGGGAATCAAATTAAATTGGGCCTTCATCCTTGCATGAGTTGCTGCTTCTTTCATTGTGCTTGTTAAACTTGTGCATGAGTTTAAGGGAATGATTTTGCACCCCTTTTTGCAGCAGCCTCCATGGTGAAAATGAAGTAATTAAGTAAATCTGGTTCATTGAGTTTCCTCTGTTTACAGGAGCTTGGTTACAGGTGATTTTTTTAAAATGCCCTTTCAATAAGGTTTGAAACAACCATTAACATATGTCCAGTATAGGTAGCAATACGTTCTTGAAACTGTATCTGTATTGATGAACAAATATATATTTATGTATTTATTTTACCTTGGAAAACCACCCCCCAGCATTACTTTAGAAAGAATATTAATTCAAGTCAACATGGATTTCAAATTAGGTAAGCTGGTTAGTTACTGTACACTTTTGATTATAATAAATTAATGGAATTATTCCCAGCTATATAATTTATTCTTTCCCCCTCAGATCCCTATGAGAAATGAACATTTTGTGTGGAAATGGTGAAGTGTAGGAGGTTGTGTTATTTTGTACTGAAGTGTGGGCGGTTGCAGAAATTAAGTCTTCTACCTTTGCAACTAGCTAAATTGAGAATGAAGTTAATGCTCTGGAATTTGATGAAGTGAAGACATGATTTAAATGATTGTAATAATGTGTCCCCTTCATCTACCTTCATATAATGCATATGATTTTGCCCTTTCTATTTACTCATTAGAAAAATAAAATACAATATCATTCTTGATTATCCTGCCAGCTCAGTGCATTGCAGACTGTCATATTTATATTTTAACATAAGAACATAAGAGAAGCCAATGCTGGATCAGGCCAATGGCCCATCTGGTCCAACACTCTGTCAACACTCTGTGCCAAAATTACCAGGTACCATCAGGAGGTCCACCAGTGGGGCCAGGACACTAGAAGCCCTCCCACTGTTGCCCTTGCAAGCACCAACATGTTATTGCATGTTCTTTTGTGTATGTGTTTGTTTGTTTCTTTCCTGGAGTCATTGGTGATGCTGTGGATAGTGATAGTCAATGTATTATATGCTTAATTAATTGTGTACCCAGTGCTACCTTCTGCATGAACTGAGGTAACCTAGTCCTGTTCTGGGGACTGGAGAGAGGGCAGGAAAACTAGCAAATAATGTGTTTAAAATTTAATAGTAAATATTTGGTGTATCCAGCTAAAATAAGGGGGAAAAACATATGCAGATGACAAGGGGTCTACAACAAAACTCATCTGAATAGTACTGAAAATTCCAGGCTTGTCTCTGGTCATTTGAGTGCTTAACAAATGTGATGCTTATGATTTTGAAATCTTAAGTCAGG